CTTGGTTCAAATCCCACAGTTGCTAAAGTACTTTCCATCATTTAAAACAAAGCTTTCAATAACACCTCTTCCACAACATATCATGCTCTTGCAGGCTCAGTAGCTCAGGCGATAAAGCGTTGTGTTTTAATACTGGAGACCCGAGTTAAAATCCCGCTTTTGAATACATCAAATTCATGCTATAATTTATGCTGTAGCTTAAGAAAAAATAAATAAATAAATGCACATCCAAAACAAGCTACAACTCCACAGATTCAGTGGTGCAAGAAATAAAGTATTGCATTTTTAACATGACTTCACTTTATTCATTATTTGAATTTTTTGCTGTAAGTAATGCCATACACCAAAATCCAAAACATTCACACTTTTATCCTCCATGGCGCAGTGGATAAACACCTCTATATTGGTGCATAAAAGTCTTGATTCAAATCCCACAATTGCTATGGTACTTTTCACCATTTATTATGCAAAAAGATAATACCAAGAAATTAAAATACTACTACTATTTTTAAAAGTCCTCCATTGTCAAATTTTGTGGCTCAGTGGATAATTATTTGCTTTTTGCTACAGGAAAGTGTGGGTTCAACTCCCACAACTGCTTAAGAACTTCTCATTAAAAACAAAACTGTCAATAAAAACACATCAAAAAAACAATCTGAAAACCTACAGGCTCAGTAGCTCAAGCAATAAAGTGTTGCATTTTAAACATGAAGACCAGAATTCAAATCTCTTCATTGTTTATGTCACTTTTTTGCTACAATTTATGATGCAGCGTAAAATAAAACAATAGTCCAAACAAGTCCAAAACACAGTAAAGCTCCACAGACTGAGTGGCGCAGGAGATAAACTTGCATTTTAAACAATGAGTCCTGAGTAGGAATCCCACTGTTACTTAGCTTAGATTGTTGTTACAGATAGTGACATAAACCAACTCAACTGCTCACGTTTCGACCTCTGTGGTGTAGTGGTTAGTCATTTGCCATTCATGTGTGATAGTTTGGGTTCAAACCCAACACCTGCAAGCATTTTCTTTATATACAAAACAACTCATTAAAATCCTTATTACGTCACCAGGCTCAGTAGCTCAGGTTGTAAAGCGTTGTGGTTTAATCATGGGGACCTGGGTTCAAACCCCACTATTGCTTATGTTAAATTGTTGATGTTATATCCAACAAAGCGGCCCAAATGTCGATAGCTGGTGTGAAAACCACTATGGCACTAGTAGCTAAACACATGTTGGATGTGGACAAGGTTACAGGGGAGTCCTGGGTTCAAATCTCACACCAAAGAAAAATACTGAATAACTGAGCAAAGTGGCAAAGATGGCGAAACAGAAAGCCGGAGGCAGACTGGCTAAGACACCTGGAGCGGTACAACAGACTGGCTACTCAGCCATGAGAAACACGGACTAACAAAAGTATCTGGGGCGGTACAACAGACTGAGTAAGCAGTCATGAAAACACGGACTAACTGGAAGACGTACCTGGGGTGTAGAGGTGGAGATGAGAGAGGTGAGGTGAGGTGAGGTGAGGTGGAGATGAGAGAGGCAATGGATTTTAAAATTCCTTATTTTTTGCTGCTGCAAAATGGGGAAAAACAGGCCATTTACATTCACAGCAGAGGGGGGATTTGAACCCACATCTCTTGCAATGGGTTGAGGCCTTATGCCATGAGCTCTGACCACTCAGCCACACCAGCTCACACAAAGAAAGTTATTTATGTATTATAAGAAGTAAGCACATTTACACACATTCAAAAAAAAAAAAACTTTGTCTATAGGTACAATTAAACAAATATTTATTTTAAAAATAAATATTCAGAATTACAATATTAAAATCAGGATTTTTATGTACATTTTGTGCATCAGTACATTAAAAAAAAATTATAAAAATCAGTATGTAAATATTATAGTAAATAATATATTAAAAATATATACATAAAATATAAAATTATTTTTTTGCAAAAACATTTTTTTTACTTGTTATTAAATATTTACACATTTAATAAAAAGTTTGTCTCTAGGACACAAACCTTAACAATAATACAATTAGTAAATATTTGGAAGAATCTGGGATGTTAGGAAATTAGGAACACAATTAATAACATTGAAATTCTGCTCCTAAGTACAGTTAAATAAATACTAATAAAACAAAAAAAGTTTGAATCTAGGTACAGCTGAATACTCTATTGTAATTCAAACACTAAAAATAATAAGTAAATATTATATAAAATAATATATACATTTTATTCAAAAATAACTAAATATTTATAAATGGAATACTGAAATATTTTTTTTTTGCCATAAATAATTTACACATAAAAAACGCATGCAATACAATTTAAAAAAGGTACAACTAAATCTTAACAATAAAACTATTAAAAACTGGTAAATATTTAGAATTAGCATATTAAAATGAGGACTGTTGCAAATGTTAAGAAATAAATACATTTAATGACATTTGAATAAAATTAGATTTTATGTATAATTAATATTATTAAAATATAAAATTATAATATTACTAAAAAAGTTTGTCTAGGTACAATTGAATACACTATTGTACTTAAAACATTATAATGAATATGTAATATGTTAAAATGAATATGTAATATGTAAATTAATATGTAAATCACTACATATGGAGGAATTTTAACCCGCTTATAACTCGCTAAGAGCTTATAAAATGTGGAAACAAATCAAAGCAGTGCCAGGAATTCCTCCATTGCACATGCAAAGGAATATCGGCTGTAAGGAGATGGTGGTTTTGACACCTCTACCGAACTATAATGGTCAACATACTGCACATGACGAGAAGAACCAGGTATGCTTGAGACATCAAGACCTGTTTTTGGTTCGTTTAGATGTCTTTGGTCTATGTTGCGTGAAAATATGAATCTGTATTCTCACATGGGCAGACAGTTCAAACTGTGCACACACACACTCATCCTTATCATGTTTTATATTTATTCTTATTGAATAATTCTAATCATCTAATCATTTTCCTCAGAGGGTAAACAGAGAAAGGCTGGAAATTTATCAGGCAAGAAAACACAAGATCACTCACTAGCTCTGCTGCTGATGCTGATGGTTCATATTCCAGGTGTGTCACAAGAGAGCAGCGTCACAATGAGGAAAGTCTTTAGAAAATAAATAATCAGAAACAGAAAAGTTCATTATGGATAAAAAAGGAACAGATTTAAAAGCAGTGCTACTGGTAATATCAAATGCTAGACAATGAAGTCCAAGTGCAAAGCAGAAACTAAGTGTCCAGTCATTGTCTGAAAAACTGCTTTCAGATTGCATCATATTTTGTTTATACTGCAGAAGAGATCATCTAAAATCAACACACTTTTTAATCTTCAAACAATAAACAATTTTATGTCAAAAGTAATAACACAGTTGCATGACTTCAGTTTCACCATCAATAAGCTTCAAACAACTCTTTCGATATTTATTTAAAAGACATTTTCCTTAAAAAGTTGAGTTACAATTCTTTTGCAGTAAAATAGTTTGACGACATTTAATGTCCTCAACAACCTCTGTAGTCCCACATAGCAACCACCTTTTTTAAGATAACTAAAAGCTCAAAAAATCAAAGGGCACTACTTTATTTTGTATAATGTATTTTATGTAATTGAATAAAACATGGAAAGATCTTTAGCTTTTGTTAACCATGCACAGACCTTATTACAGGTATTTAACAAAAATCCATTTAAAAAAAACAAACATTAAGCAAACTCCCATAAGTCAACCTAGGAAGTTCCCTGGTGTTTCAACAAAAACTAGCACACTACAAACATTGTATGCGTGTATATATATATATATATATATATATATATGCACACACACAATTCAATTAACAAGAAGCTAATATTAACTGACCTATATTTCAGACACAATATTGTTTTTGTACATTTTTACCAATGAAAATAGTTCCAAGAAGCACTGCAGATCTGAGTGTTTGGTTTCTGTATGAATCTTTTTTGAATGTGCGACCTCTACAGTTCAGGCATGGATTTTGATGATACTGATTTTACTTTTAATTTATTGATCACATTTAAGAAATTGCCATGATAAAAAGATGACATACATTTGGGTTAGAAAAATCAACAAAAAACATGAACATTTTATATAAAGCTTATATAATCGTAACGCAACAGCTACTGATTGATTTGGTATTCTAAAAGTAAACATTCATTTATGTGACGGCCTTACATGATTAAAATATGGTCAAATAACATTTTTTTCATCAACAAGGTTTTCTGACTCAAATGAAATCTCAAATGGCTTTCAGCTCATGTCTACTATTTTAAGGCTAAATATACTAGTGAAAGTATGCTTTTAAGAAATGCATGTAAAATATGCACATTTTCTTCACAAATCAGATATATTTGACTCGGTACATTGCGCTAAACAAATTTTGTCCAATCAAATACTTTCTAGAGAAAGTCCCTCCGCCAAATACCATCTGCAAACGACTAGCATCAGTACTTTTACTCGTTTATAAATCACTCAATGGCCTAGGACCTAAATACATAGCAGATATGTTCACTGATTATCAACCTAAGAGACCACTCAGATCATTAGGATCGAGTCAGTTAGAAATACCAAGGGTTCACACAAAACAAGGGGAGTCCGCTTTGAGTTGGAATCAGCTTCCAGAAGAGATCAGATGTGCTAAAACATTAGTCACATTAAAATGCAGACTCAAAACTCATCCGTCTAGCTGTGCATTTACTGAATGAGCACTGTGCAATGTCCGAACTGATTGCACTATATTTTATGTATAATCATTTTCTATTCTTAACTGTTTTAAACTCATTTTTAAACCTCTTAAATCCATTTTTAAATCATTTTCAAAGTTTTAAATTCCTTGTTTTATTGTTGTGATTACTTTTTTATAATTTTTTTCATTTCTTTTATGTAAAGCACTTTGAATTACCATTGTGTATGAAATGTGCTATATAAATAAACTTGCCTTGCCTAGCAGCACAAGCACTCTGTTAGAAATGTCAGAACAGATTTACCTTTCTAGCAGATCTGAAAGTCTGTGAATGTGAGGAGCAGCAGGTGAGAGATGCGCAGATACACCGCGAGCTAAACAAACACAACAGAGAGGAGAGCGAGTGAACACTACTACATCAATACACACTTACAGAATTACTTTCAAGCTAAACAAACCGACTGAGGACTTCATACGCGGAAAGTTACTTACAGGTGAGTCGCGTTACACTCGATTCCTGCACTTTACCGCAGTTTGTGTCGGTTTTGTTTGCTGACGGGCGGTAATTGAGAGACATTAAGAGTCTGTCACTGAACTGTCATCTGCAGAATCTGTACTTTCATAGCATTAAACCGCATGAATGTGAACAAGCGTCATTGTCGTCAGGGTGTGAGGCTAAAAGTGACGCTCGCTGACGCCGCCTAGTGGAGCGGATGGAGAACTGCGCTTTTTATGTATTCGAATTTTCGACAGGAATTTAAAGGGATAGTTCACCCCAAAATGAAAATTCTGTCATTAAAGGGGTCATATGATGCTGCTAAAAAGAACATTATTTGGTGTATTTGGTGTAATGAAATGTGTTTATGCGGTTTAACGTTAAAAAAACACATTATTTTCCACATACTGTACATTATTGTTTCTCCTCGCCCCGCCTTTTTGAAGCGCGTCGATTTTTACAAAGCTCATCAGTCTGAAAAGCGAGGTGTTTGACTCATCAGTGGCAAATCCTTTAAATGAAAATGTACTTACAGACTGTGAGGCAGAACCGCCGGCTTTGTAGGCCACGCTTCCAGGATCAGGAAACAGTCCTCCATAAAATGTGCTGCACACATCTGGATATTTGGGTTAAACTGTTCTGGAACAGTGTTGTAAATACAACTTAACCACTGATTTCTAGTCGTGTCTTCTTTTGGAAGACCAAACAAAGTAGTTTCGCTTTCACAACGAAACACACGGCGGCCTAGCGTGAGCAGAAGCCGCGGCTTAGAGTGAGCAGAGGCGGCGGGGTCGAGAATGGCGCGCCCGGTGGATTCGACGAAGGAGCGGCAACCACATGTGACGACCCCGGGCTGGACTCCGCTTCGTCCACGGTGAAAGCCGATCTGGCGATCCACAGTGCGAAGTTGATGTATTCCCTCAGCGACCAGCACGGATCAGTTCTAGGCATGACGAAGCGGATATCGTCCTCTTTTGGAAGACCAAACAAAGTAGTTTCGCTTTCACTACGAAACACAGCGTCTTCACGACATGGCGGCAGCAGCAACAATACTACAGCGAGAATAAAAGTTACGCCTTCTTTCTTTGTGTGAACATTTGGGCAGCGTTATGCAAATCTTCCCACATAGTGATGTAGACATGTGGGGGTGTTAGAATGAGCCATTTTAGGTAGGCGTGGTTGATTCTTAACTTTTATAAAGAATATCTCTTTGGATTTGCAACTTTACAGATCTTCTTTATGCACCAAGAGCTTGTAACACTCCAAAGAGAAAGGAAAAATTGAAATCACATCATATGACCCTCAAGATACTTTCACATTTTATTCTACGACATAAAACACACCAATTACACCCCACTCGAGATTTTTTAAAACTGTTACATTTCATAAAAAAGACGGTTGCTAATAAGTTGCTAAATGGGACTACAGGCGCTGTCTGAGACATTAAACGTTATCACGCCGAACAGTTTATCAATTTACAGTATTTTCCAATCATAGTGTATAATTTATAGTACAATTAATAGTAGAATAATTATTAGTATAATAATTAATAATTTCCCACATTTTATATTGGTGTTCGACAATGTTTTTTTGCTTTGCCCCGAAATGTAACAGCCAACAAGTCTTCGGATGGAAGATGCTCGTTTTATCCCTTTCCTACTGATGCGGAGACTCTGGGTTCGCACCATAAGGTAAACTCTTATGATTATTCCATGTAAACACCACATTTACCGACTTAGTTGCGGTGAAAGTGAAACTTTAATTATGCATAGTGCTTAAAGCCATGTTAAATTGAAATGTTTACAGCCACATGAAGCTGTTAGAAAGCATATAGATTTTGTAGAAGCAAGGATAAAATAACATTTTGTGTACCCACCCTAACAAAACGAGTTAACTTGAAATGTGGTACTTTATTCACTAAAATAAGTTTAATCTTACCATATCCAAAAACTCGCTCGCTCTGCTGTTATTTAATAGATTAAATGCACTAGAATTTTATTGAATAGTACGTGGAGACACGTTTTTAATTAAAATATTCATATTAATCAAGGATTTATTTACTTTTAATGCACCTCATTTCGAAATGTACAGAAATACGTGCTTTTATATGTATTTTAGTTATGATTATTTCATTTATTCACTATACTATTTATGACTAATGTCTCATTTCAGTTTTAGTTTGGCTCTAGTTTTGTATTTATTCCAGTTTATATGAAAAGGTTCATGTAGCGTGGATTAAAATTCATATACAGACTAAATCCTTTTCACTGAACATGTGGAGCAGGTGGTGGTGACGTTGAAGGCGAGCAACCGTAGTGCTGTAGTTCATTTATAGCCTAAGTTTAGCTTTTAAGTTCTGGCGCTTTTATTTAGGCATCAAAATTCATAACAATTATATTATTTTGTGAAGATTATCTTGATGGACAAAATGCGTAAGTTTCATGAACTCTTGATTGAACACAGAGCTTATTTTTTGCGATAATCCAAAAGCCTATGGAAAAATCCCATTGGCTTTTTGTCGAGGGAACCAGTGTGATGCTAACAGCCGATCCGCCTACAAAGTGACGTCATAGATCCCCCACTCTATTACTCACCCTCAGTGTTGGGGGTAACGCGTTACAAGTAACGTGCGTTACGTAATAATATTACTTTTCTGAAGTAACTAGTAAAGTAACGCATTACTTTATAACTTTACACATGAATATTCGAGTTACTTTTTTAAAAAAGTAACGCGAGTTACTTTTTTCAGTTTAATTAATTTGCTTTAAAAAAAAATGTAATTACTTAATTAAAATGAACGTAATCACGTAGAATCACGCACTCAATGCGTGCGCGGGAACAGACACGGAGATGGCTGGTCAGAGCTTTACATTTCTGCGATGGAAGTATTCTAATTATTTTGAATTCGTCGAAGAAAGGGAGAAGGGGATTGTCGTTAAATGTAGATTATGTGTAGGTGAAAAACTCTTGTCAACTGCAAAAAACACCACTTCAAATTTAAAAAAACATCTGCATGCAAAGCACAGCACAACAGAGTTGGACGAGAAAGAGCCGAATGATACCTGCACCCCGCCTCAAGCTAAACAACAAAAGCTTGATTTCAGTTCACCTTCACCAGGTAAAACAATTAGTTCGACTGAACTCAACAAATTGGTTGCTGCTTTTATTGTCGAGGAGATGCAGCCACTGTCCGCTGTGGAGGCGCCTACATTTCGTAATGTCATAAGCAAAATCTCAGTGACAGGCAAAAGGACGGGGGGATGATGAAATCTGAGAGCTCTCTGACCCTCCCATAGACAGCAACGCAACTGAAATGTTCCCAGGCACAGAAACGTAGTTGGGACATCGGTTAAACAGTCCATGTGACAACTTCAATTTTGCAAAGCTACGAGAATACTTTTTGTGGGCAAAGAAAGCAAAAATAATTTATTCAACAATTCTTCTCCCCGAGTTACCATCTCCCGCCATTTTAGAGAGTACCACGTACCACGACGCATGCATGCGATTTCTCCTGAACGTAGACAACACTGATTACGTTCATGGGAAAGCAAGCACATGCATCGTGGTACTCTTCAAAATTTTGGGGTGAACTAACCCTTTAACCGATCCGCAAGACTGATCGGTTGAGACATCAGGTCGGGCACTTTTCTATACTTTCTCTACAAGAATAAAGTTCAGCATAAGCCCCATCATTTTTCAGCATAAGCCCCATAATTATTGTCATCAACTCTGTCGTCTTTTATAGCCATGATATTAACTATGCTCGTAGTTGCTGTAGTACTGGGTAATTGGACTGTTGTGTTAATATGGCCATCAATTAAATCTGTTTAAAGCAGTGCAGTTTAACAAAACCTTTCTTTATAACGCACAGAGAACTAACATTAGCCTGCATCTCGCATTATGCAAGAGAAGTTAATTAAATGAATTAAAAAATGTGGTAGATGAACTACACAAATCATGTACTTATCTATGAGTGCTATGTTCAGAATACTGAATCAGTGAGTCGTTCACTGCTGCAATCGGATCAGTCGAATTAACAAATTGTTTTTAAATGGCTTGTTTTAATTTTTCTTTATGTAACAGTCTACTGTATTAATCCTGGCCCGAATTTGATTTTGATAGGCTGAATCAATCACACACCCCTATTTGAGGTTTAAGGACCCAACAATTAATTTTTTACATGTATCTTAATTCTGCAAATTACCCAAATACTCAAGCTTAATGATGTACTAGTTGCATGTTCCCTACCATAGGGCCTACTGGTAGCTAACTATCCCTCAGATATATTACCAGTCACATTGCTTACAGGCTTAAACAGAATAAAAAGATTTAATTACGCCTCCATTTTTTATACTGTGTGGGGAATCGGTGCATCCTTGACTATAGCCTATTAATGTTACAATATAAATATAAAATCTCATCTAAGCCACTTTGTTCATTCTTGAAGTAAACTTTTGCCCGTTTGGTGATTAAATAAACTGTTAGACCGCCGCTCGAGTTGAACACAACAAGTCCGGTGTGTGATACCTTTGAGTTGTTCAAGACGCAGCGCTGCGCTTTTACCCAGTGTGTGACTAAAATATTTTGTTATTTTGGTGAGATAATCATCAGTTGTTCTAACAAAAGCAAATAAAGTGTGAGAGTATACATACAATATCCATATATGTATGTAATTGCAATGCTATGGCCTTTATGTAGATATTTAAAGATGGCCATCAAGCATGAGTGTTGAAATTAAATGGTAGCCTAACACTTTACAATAAGACTCAATTTGTAACATTAAGATTAATGAAAGCTGTATAAGTATTGTTCCTTGTTAGAGTGTTAATTTCAACATTTACTATTACTAATACATTTTGAAGTTTCACTTTCTTCTGTTAACATTAGTTAATAAACTTTGACCTAACTAATGAACAATATAAAAAAAATTATTAATATTTTTATTCATTTACAGTGTATGGTTCAGTACTGTAAAGCACTATTTTAGTTTTTGTTCAGTATTCGTTTTAAAAACTAACAGTGGATTAATCAGTATTGGCCAGTGTCGTCCAACCTAGCTATCAGTATTGGTAAAATCCACTATAGGTCACCCTAGATTTTAAAATCTGCACCCTCCTGTGGTAATTTCTGTGAATTACACAACTGCATATCAAGTCGAATGGATTTAAATAGGTTGCACCCTCCTGTGGTGATTTCTGTGAGTTACATATCTGCATATCAAATCTACTGAATTTAAATGAGTTGCACCCTCCTGTGGTGATTTTTCTGAATTACACCACTGCAATAAATTAACTTAAACAGATTGTGCCCTCCTGTGGTAATTTTGGTGAATTACACTGCTGCATATCTAACCATTACTAACCTTTGTCACATCAAATTAAATGTCACTTTTTAAATCAAATATAATTTTTCAAATGAATTTCTTATTATTGGAATTATCGTTACTGACAGAAGTTTGTCATGTCACGGAGCACATTTTCAGCTAATCAACAATGAAATGATCACCTGACAGAGTGGCATGTGACACTGCAAAATGTACTAAACATTTACTCACATTTAGAGCTTGACAGGTGTTTAATTTCATGCCCTGAATTGAGGACACAAACACTCACAACTGACGTTCATCTTCTTCGTCTGGACGCTACATCTGTAGTAATAAATCTGATTGAGGCAGAATCTTGCAGAGATATCTGTTTTAGACCAAGCAAGCTTGTGATAATGGCAAAATCTTACACTCAGATTTATTGATTTATTTTGCATTTCCTTGTTATTTGGTGTAAGATTTAGTATACAGACAGGTAGAAGGCAATAACAGCATATGAGTACAATGATTCAAAGATTATTAATTATACAGCATTACTGTACAATAATATACTCTTTAATATTGTTTTCTCATTGCACAACTTTAGAAAAATGTACACATTTTTTCTGTAAACATTCTTGAGGAAGACTGCATCACTTCATCATTCGTTTCTTTTCAAATCTCATTTATATTTGTAGTGCACATGACTTATGGACCATTAAATCCACTTCATCCAGTTTCACCAGCTCTGCCCGTGAGTATATATGTCAGCTTACATGTATTATCTATTATTTACACTAATATGTTTGGTTCTGCAGTATGGAGTAATTATGTATGTCTTTACCCTACAGAATAAAGGATGTGTTTGAGCACCCAGTCAACAGAAGCAGAGCTCTGGGACGTGTGGACAGACATTCGCTGTAATGATGGACATCTGCTCATGGACAGGTGATGCTGTGTTGTTCACTAGTTCATGTGTAGGTTACCATCATTTTCTTTTTGAGGGGTCACTCCTTTAAAAAGCAAATGATGGTAACCTAAGGAGGTGGGGAAGGAAAACATTTAAATAGCTAATTTTTTTTTCAGGTTGAAAAGCATAACCTCTGCTGGACATCACTCTGGGACCCAAACCATCCCCACCCCTTCTTTTACACACCATTCAATCATTTCATGGAGATCCAGCTGGGATTGAACCAGCAACCTCTGAACCATGAGGCAGTGCTCTTACCTGTGAGCCACAGATCTCTTGTTGAGACAAGTGAAGGAACTTATATTTCACTGTTAACCTCTAATTTTACGCTAAACTACTTAAAGATTTCAATTGTGTCAGTATCATTTGATATGCAAAGGTGGGACTTGAACCCATGTTTTAGTCGTAACCTTGAACACAACACCCATTGTGTAGCCACTAGTGCTGCTGTGGCTTTAATGCTGAGTGTTGGCATTCGGGACACCTTGTTGGATATAATGCCAACAATTTAACATAATCAATAACGGGATTCAAACTCAGATCTCCATGATGAAACCCCAACGCTTTATCAACTGAGCCACTAAGTTGGCTGAATTCATCTGTGTTTTGTTGAGAGCTTTGTTTTAAACGAAAAGAAAAATTTGCAAGTATGGGACTCATACAACACATTTCTATCAGTGAGATCTGGCTGAGACTGAACTAGCAACCTCTGAGCCCTTGAGACAGCTCTTTTACCTGTGAGCCACAGATCTCATGACTGACCCTGTGCAGGAACAAAACACCCTGCAGCTCTACAGACTCAGTGGCACAAAAAATAAAGTATTGTGTTTTAATCATGAAGTCCTGCATTTGAATCCTTATTTGGAATTGTTTCTCTAAGTAATGCCATACACCGAAATCCAAAACAACACACATTATAATCTCTGTGGCGCAATGGATAGTTACAGACTTCTTGGTACATGAAAGACTTGGTTCAAGTCCCACAACTGCTAATGTAATCATCACCTTTTATTAAGCAATTTATGTTCTTTGATCTATACTTTACGATAATGCAAAAAAAAAAATATATATATATATATATTTAAACGGAAAGTCTAAAAGACCTTAAAAAAAGGTCCTTTTTTAATACTCCAGCATTTTCTCAAACTCTGTGGCTCAGTGTATGATTATTTGCATTTTGCTACAGAAATGTCTTGGTTCAAATCCCACAATTGCTTTAGTACTTATCATTTAAAACAACACTATCCACAAAAACACTCATAAACCTCACAGGCTCAGTAGATAATGCATTGTGTTTTAAAAGTGAAGATCTGAGTTCAAATCCCACTATTGCGTGTGCAACTTACTGCAACTTAAAATAAAATAATAGCTTGTCCACGATAATGCAAAAAAATATATATATATATATATATATATTTAAACGGAAAGTCTAAAAGACCTTAAAAAAAGGTCCTTTTTTAATACTCCAGCATTTTCTCAAATTCTGTGGCTCAGTGTATGATTATTTGCATTTTGCTACAGAAATGTCTTGGTTCAAATCCCACAATTGCTTTAGTACTTATCATTTAAAACAACACTATCCACAAAAACACTCATAAACCTCACAGGCTCAGTAGATAATGCATTGTGTTTTAAAAGTGAAGATCTGAGTTCAAATCCCACTATTGCGTGTGCAACTTACTGCAACTTAAAATAAAATAATAGCTTGTCCAAAACACTCAGTAACATCACAGACTTAGTGGCGCAGAAGATATTCTGTTGCCTTTTGAACATGGCATCCTGAGTTCAAATCCCACTATTGCGTGTGCAACTTACTGCAACTTAAAATAAAATAATAGCTTGTCCAAAACACTCAGTAACATCACAGACTTAGTGGCGCAGAAGATATTCTGTTGCCTTTTGAACATGGCATCCTGAGTTCAAATCCCACTGTTACTTATCTTAAATTGTTGTTACAGATAGTGACATAAACCAAAAGATTTTCCTACATCATGATTGCTGTGGTGCATTGGATAACCACTTGACTTTCATGCATGACAGGCTGGGTTCAAACCCAGCACCTCCAAACCTTTTCTTTAAATACAACAAAACTCTCAATAAAATCCCATCAAAATCCAGGTTAACTCCCCAGGCTCAGTAGCTCAGGTTGTAAAGCATTGTGTTTAAATAATGGAGATCTGGGTTCAAACCCCACTATTGCTTATGTTAAATTGTTGACGTTATATCCAACAAAGCGGCCCAAATGTTGCGCATTGGTGTGAAAGCCACGATGGCATTAATGACTAAACACACGTTGGTTGCGGACAAGGTTACGGTGGAGTTGTGGGTTCAAATCTCTCACCAAAAAAAGATACTGAGCAAAGTGGCAAAGATGGTGAAACCAAAAGCCAGAGGCAGACTGGCTAAGACACCTGGGGCGGTACAACAGACTGGCTACTCAGCCATGAGAAACACGGACTAACAAAAGTATCTGGGGTGGTACAACAGACTGCATAAGCAGTCATGAGAAACACAGACTAACAAAAGTATCTGGGGCAGTACAACAGACTGGATAAGCAGTTATGAGAAACACGGACTAACTAGCAGATGTACCTGGAGCAGTAAGATGGCCAAGAAAAGAAGGCTGGTCTGGTGGTGGAGATGAGAGAGGTGGGGCCAAAGGAGGAGGCACGAAGAAGATTTAAAGATTTTTTTTTTTTTTGCTGCAAAATGGGGAAAAAGTAGGCTTCTCTATTTACATTTGCAGTAGAAGGGAGATTTGAACCCACACCTCCTGCATTGGGTTGAGGTTTTATGCCATGAGCTCTGACCACTCAGCCACACCAGCTCACACAAAGAGAAGTATTCACTTACTATAAGAAATAAGCACATGTACGCACATTCAAAAACTTTTTTTTTTTTAATATTTAAAAAAATTCTGACTCAGAAAATTAAAATGAGGGTTCTTGAAAACACTAAGAAATATTTACAAATATTGAGAAATAGAAATATTTTGGTGTATATAACATTTTATAAATCATATTTCCATTATAATTAGTATGCAAATATTAAATAAAATAATACATAAGTAAAAATTTTGAAACAGACTATTAAAATAAGGTTTTCCTTGTTAAAAATAAAAATATTTACACATTTTAAAAGGTTTGTGTCTAGGTACAATTACATTTTTTTAACAATAATAAAGCTAATAAAAATTGAATACTCTTTTGTATCGAAAATATAAAAAATAATATGCAAATATATAAAATGTTATATTATATTTACAAAGTAAATATTTATAAAAAGAATATTAAAATCAGGTTTTTTGCAAGAAATATTTTTCTTGTTAAAAACAAAAATATTTACATAACACATTTTGTGTCTATGCACAATTAAATCTAAATAATAAAACAACTAAACTACTAAATATTTAGAAACATTAAAATGTTGCAAATGTTCAGAATAAATACATTTACCAACATATTAATTACATTTTGTACAATTAAATAAATACTAATACTAAAAATAAGTAATACATACTGATAAACATGTAAATATTATAGAAAACATCTTAACAATAAAAAACTACAAGCATTACCTGTCCATGACCAGATTTCTGTTATTAAAGCAAATGTCTGTCCACGTGTGCCAGAACTCTGCTTTCGACATCCCTTATTCTGTAGTTTAAAGAGATAAATAAAGACAGAAAACATACAGCTATGTGTAGCAGAACAAACTGTTCATCATAAATAATGTACATGTGTCTTTAGGAAGCATCTGTCACACTCACTTTCTAAAGGAAAATGAAATAATGAATGCGTTTATACTTGTAGCTCAGTTAAAAAGACACAAAACAACATTACATTACTCTAATGGTGCACACGATGAGAAGAACCTCAGTAAATACAGAAAAGATGGAAGTTTATGAGGCAAGAGAACATCATAAGATCACTCACCTGCTGATGCTGATGGTTCATATTCCAGTGTGTCTCAAGAGAGCAGCGTTACAATAAAGAAAGTCTGGAGAACTTAAATAATCAGACACAGAAAAGTTCATTATGGATGATAAAAGACAGATTTAAAAACCGTGGTACTTATATTATATCAGTTTGTCTGAGAAACACAAGTTTAAAAAGACAACATTAAAAGCAATAGCATCAAATGCTAGGCAATGAAAACCAAGTGCAAAGCAGAAACTACGTGTCCAGTCATTGTCTGTTAAATTTATTTCAGATTGCATCATATTTTGTGTATACAGCGCAGAAGTGATCACATATTTTTGTAGGCCAACCTGCAAGTGAGCATCACCCTGGTTCTATCAACAACACTTTTTTTCACTGATTTTTTTTATTCAGATTGCAGAAAACAAGCTCTCAAACTGCTCTTCATCATTAATTATTGCACTGACACCATGTTTGTCCCAGTTTTGTACATCAACCCTCTAAATTATTCCAGAAAATAGTGTTGAGTGTGAGTTTTACAGACAGCGACTGGGTGACACTGGTGGAGCGGATCCTGATTATCATGTCAACACTGCGTGAAATGTTAATCCAGTTTTACATCTAAAAATGCCATTGAAATAGATCTAAGCTCTACTCATATTATGACAATCACATGTAGAAGTAGGAAAGACATGAAGCAGCTTCACAAAAAAACACTCTATAAACAAACATGAATACAGTCCATTACAGTAACACTACAATAATATGATAATTCACTTGATAATATGAAAATAAGTGGTTAAGATTTTATGACTAAGTGTTGTGGCTTTCAGCTCATGTCTACTAGCTTTAAGGCCATTTATATACTTATGAAATTATGCTTTTAACAAATGCATGTAAAATTTACACATTCACAGATCATACATTTTATAACTCATATTGCGCTACACAAATTTTGTCCAATCAAATACTTTCTAGAGAAAGTCCCTCCTCCAAACAGCTAGCAGCACAAGCACTCTGTTAGAAATGTCAGAACAGATTTACCTTTCTAGCAGATCTGAAAGTCTGTGAATGTGAGGAGCAGCAGGTGAGAGATGCGCAGATACACCGCGAGCTAAACAAACACAACAGAGAGGAGAGCGAGTGAACACTACTACATCAATACACACTTACAGAATTACTTTCAAGCTAAACAAACCGACTGAGGACTTCATACGCGGAAAGTTACTTACAGGTGAGTCGCGTTACACTCG